GGCTAGCTCAGAAGAGTGGGTGACTCTTGATCTCAGGGTCACTTGAGCCCCCACGTTGAGGGCTGAGCCCCACGTTGGGTGTAGAGATGACTTAAAAAAAAATTGGGGGCACCTGGGTGGCTCCGTCGGTTAAGCATCCGACTCTTGATTTTGGCCCAGATCATGATCTCCTAGTTCGTGGGTTCGAGCCCCACAAACTGGGCTCTGCGCTGGGAAGTTCAGAGCCTGCTTGGGATTCTCTCTGCCTCCCTCTCTCCCTCCCTCTCCCCTACTTGCTCTCTCTCTCAAAATAAGTAAATAAGTAAACTTAAAAAAAAAATCTAAAATCACATTTAGTGTCTCACAGTGTGGAGGTCCCCCCTCAAGGCACCTGCGGGGTGGTTCGTTCTGGGGCTCTGAGGGAGAATCTGTTCCAGGCCCATCTCCGGCTTCTGCTGGTTTGCCGCTAATTCCCGGGCTCGTGGGCGCGTCTCCCCGGCTCCGCTTTCCCACTCACATGGTGTTCTCCGTGCGTGCGTGTGTCTGTCTCTGATCCAAACTTCCCCTTTTTATAAGGACACCAGTTGCACTGGGTTAAGACCTACCTTATGGACCTTGTTTTATTTTATTATCAGGTTAGTTAACATACAGTGGAGTCTTGGCTTCAGGAGTTGAACCCACTGATTCATCACTTCCGTACAACACCCAGTGCCCATCCCATCCCACTGAGGTGCCCTCCTCAGTGCCCATCACCCATTTCTCCCATCCACGCCCCCACCTCCTTTCCAGCCACTCTCAGTTTGGTCTCTGTATTTAAGAGTCTTTTATGGTTTGTCTCCCTGTTTTTATCTTACTTTTCCTTCCCTTCCGCTATGTTCGTCTGTTTTGCTTCTCAAATTCCACACAGGAGTAAAATCATATGATATTTGTCCTTCTCTGGTTGACTTATTTCACTGAACACAATACCCTCTAGCTCCATCCACGTTGTTACAAATGGCAAGATTTCATTCTTTCTGATCGCTGAGTAATATTCCATTGTATATACTATCTGTTCATCGGTCGATGGACATTTGGGCTCTTTCTATAATTTGGCTATTGTTGATAGCACTGCTATAAATATTGGGGTGCATCTGCCCCTTTGAATCAGCATTTTTTTGTAGCTTTTGGATAAATACCTAGTAGTGTAATTGCTGGGTCATGGGATAATTCTATTTTTAATTTTTTGAGGAACCTCCGTACCCTTTTCCAGAATGGCTGTGCCAGTTTGCATTTTAATGACCTCATTTTAACTTCATGACTTCTATGAAGACCCTGTTTCCAAGTAAGGTCACATTCTGAGGTCCCGGGGGCTTCAACATATCTTGTGTGGAGGAGCACCATTCGATCTGTAGCAGATCGGCAGTTGGATGTAGGGGTCTGGCTCTCAGATGTGGTTCCTAAAGCTTTGGAAATGGATGACACCATCTGCGGGGAGAGTGTGAGAAATCAGGGGAGCCCGGGGCTGAGTTCAGGGAGAAGAGGAGTGAGCCGGAGGCTGAGGTGGTAGGAGGGGAACCGGAAGCGAATTCCTCTTTATCTCTTGCAGTACACATAGCTGTGATTTAATCACGGCCGAAGGACACAAAGCACCATCAGCAGAGGGGGAGAGGCGCATGGGACGAAGTCTGGGGAGTCAGGCAAGGCTTCCAGAGCCCTCTTCCAGGGCGGTCACACAGGATACGTTTAACGCCTCCAGCATCTGATTGTGACGACACACATGAAGTGTCATCTCCCAGGGAAGCCGTTCGGGACTCAGCGCCGAGGGTGTTTACTGGGGGCTGGTCACGTAGGCACCTGCTGCCTGGCACCTACTGAAAATTCTAGATTTCCAGGGGGAAAGCAGGTGGTCGGCATGAGCCACACTGTTTGCACAGACAGTTCAGGCCTGATGAGCTACTCTGATCCCTGAATGGTAGTGGGAACCCTCCCAAAGTCCGTGTTCCCAGACACGGGCCAGGGGCCAACCCTGTAAGCAAGCCTTAGTGAGGAGAGCAGCCCCAGGCCTGCCACGTCATCTTTGTTCCATATGGGAACCCAACAGATAGTTCATAAAAATGTAGGATACTGATTCGAAATGGTATAGATACAGTTGGAAAAAGTCCGACTTGCCAGAGTCTGGCTGCTTTCCTGCCCCGAGAGGGCTGTCTCTGCATCTCCCCATTGATTTAGTTATTCCAGAATCCCCGTCAGGCCGAAACCCTGGAGTGCATCAGGCGCCTGACCCCTCCCACACTTTGTCCTGCTTTCTTTTTTGTCCCTGGAGCCCGTCCCTTACCTTGCGCTCCCTTTACCGGCCACCAGAGCCAGACCCTCATCGTGTCTGACTGTGACTCTTCACACGTATCTCTGTATCGATCTTCCTGCTTCCTAACACACCGCCTTCTGTGCACGTCACCAGCTCGGGGTCTCCGCGGACGGACTTCTGTTTCCGCCGGCTGAGTTCCTCTGCCTCCTTATTTTCCATCTTGCCTCTGCATCTTGCTCAGGCCCTTCTTCCCGCCTGCTGCACTCTCTTTCTCCCTCTCTTTATCAGCCTCCATGGTTGCAAGTGATGGAAACTCAACTCCAGTTGGCTTATGTGAAATTAGAGGGAGATGAAGTCAGTATTGATTCACAAAACTGAAAAAGTCCGGGGCACATTTGGATTCAAGTGCTCAAGAGAGAGCATTCCGAATGGGTCTCCCCCACCCACCACCCACCCCTGTCTTGGCTTTACCGTTTTTCTCTTTTATTTGCATTTTTGGATTTTCCCAAAGTAATTAAACAAACAGCACCAGATGCCTGAGGCTCACATCCTCCTTGGCTTAGCCTGGGCCAATGAGATTCTTTCCCAGATGTTTGTGGTCCAAGGGCTCGGCAGGGCTGTCATTGGCTGGCTCAGATCACGTGCTCCATCCCTGAGCCAATCACTTTGGCCGGTTGACACAGGGCTCTGATTGGGCAGGTCACCCAAACCGCTCGCAGGCGCCAGATGATTGTGAAGTGATTCTCCCAAGGAAAAGAGAGACCTTTGGCCAGGAAGTGGGGACGGGCGGGGACAGAGGGACTCCACTTTCCAGTCTAAAGTGTCAGGTGCCAAACTTCCTCCAAATTCTAGCTCCGGGGCCGCGCAGGGTCTCCCTCCCCTAAGAAGCCTCCTTCACTGGTGGCAGCTTCGTACCTCCTGAATACCTGGGGCACCTACAGTCCCCGCTACTCACATGGCATTTAGCACATGCTTCCTTGGGTCGGCATCAGACTTTCCACACATGGGTGGCAGACTCGTGAGGATGGGTATAAGCGCCAGCCCTGTCCTTTGCTCCAGGGCTGGGGTGTATTTTCTGTGAAGACCGAGAGGGCTCCTGTGGGTCTCATTTAATAGCACCCCAAATGGGCAAGGCTACTTATTTTCCGAAGCCCTTACACTTTGCAGCAGAGTTTTTCATCCTGGGCCCTAATGACATCAGGGGCAGGGTAGTTTTTAGTTGTGGGGCTGTCCTGGGCATTACAGGCTGGTTGGCTGTGTCCCTGGCTTGTACCTGCTAGATGCCGCCAGCACCCCAGCCCCACACACACATAAGCCGGGGCGACCAAAGACGTCTCCGGACATTGCCAGATGTCTCTTGGGGGCACAGTTGTCCCTGGTTGAGTACGCTCACGATGACCCTCCCAGGTAAGGAGGAGACGTTTGTTCCTTCCACTTCAACGAGGAGACTGAGGCTCAAGGGGTTTATACACGGGGTGTGAGTCTTGGGCCTCAGAATCAGGACCCAAGCCCTGCTCCTTGGCCTTGGCATCTGCGGCTCTTCCAGTGATGCTGTGCTCCTTTCATTTAAGTGCCTAGAGGGATGATACCACCCCTCCCCCACCCCTCCGAGGCTGAAAAACTCATTGTGTCTTTGTTCTCTAGGGATCCTACCCGCGCTTTTCCCAGAAGAGGAAAAGGAGTCTATCCTCAGTCAGATTGGACAAGAAGCTCTGAAGCAAGGGACGAGCCCGGCCAAGGAATCCGTGTGGCAGTACTTTGTGAACAAGAGCGCAAATAACCTGCACATTGTCCTGGGCATGTCGCCGGTGGGGGACACCCTGAGGACGCGGTGCAGAAATTTCCCAGGTGCCCCTGAGTTGAGCCTGCAAATCGGTCTTTCCCCTTCGGCAGGGCGTTCCCAGCAAAGCGAAACAGGAGATGGTCACTGGGCGGAAATTCGGGCCCTGCAGCGTAGGGTGAGACCCGCTCTGCCCCTCACGATCGCCGGCGGGCTCTGGTGCTGCCCACGGTGGACAGTGTCCTCCAACAACGAGGAGATGCTCACAGGCCCAGGTGCACGGCCCGAGGCGAGCTCCCGGCTCTCTTCCATTTGAACCGTTCTGCCAGCCTCGTGGAAGGTGCAACACCTGGACCTCTAGAGCAGAGGTTCTGAGTTGGGGGGTGATTTCCGGCCCCATCCCGGGGCCATTTGTCAATGCCTGGAGACAGTTTTGGTTGTCACATCGGGTGGGCAGGGGAGTGTACTACTGACATCTAGTTGACAGAGGCCGGGGTTTTGCCCAACTTTCTATGCTGCACAGACAGCCCCGCGATAGAGGGTCGTCCAGCCCAAATGTCAGCCGCGCTGCGGTTGAGAAACTCAGCTTTGGGTGAATTATTCTCGGGTGCGTCCGGCTCCTTCTCCAGCGTGCCGGGTGCTGAAGACCGTGTCAACGTCCGTGATCATCTCAAGGTTGCAGGCTGACCATCTCTTTTCGTCTCTTCTTTTCAAGGTCTTGTAAATAACACCGGTATCGACTGGTTCATGCCCTGGCCCCCTCAAGCCCTGCATGCAGTCGCAAAGTCATTTCTAGGTACGTGACAGCTGCTGTGGGGCCCCGTTAATGATGTAACAAAATAACGTAATGCTTTTCTGACTTTGAATTTTGGTCCGGTAGCTCCCTTCATTGTTAACCCCCCTGGCCACGAATGGTTTTTAAGTTTGTCAGTGTGTTTTTGGTTTATATTGTGTTTTAAGCTAAAGAGATTGCAGGGGACTTACAAGGATAACTTAGGAGACAATTGATCAGGTATCATCCAAAGCAGGCGTTGGTACACCATGGCCTTTGGGCCAAATGTGGCCCGTGGCTCGTTTTGGTAGATAAAGTGTGATTGGGACACTGACTCATTGGTCAATGACCATGGTGTCTATGGCTGTTTTTAGGCCGCAACTGCAAGGTTGAATAATTACAGGAGAGACCATACGGCCCCTGAAGCCTGAATATTTACTGTTCAGCTCTTTACAGAAAAAGTATACCGTTTCCTGACCCAAAAGATACCTGAAGGACCTTTTAGAGGACTGATTATCAATCCATGCTGAATTTGCTGTATAGTTTCAAGCACCTAAGCCCTTGATTATTAATTTTAATCTTCAACATAAGAAAGCAAGTCAGTTCGTCTTCAGGGAAAAATCTTTTTTAATTTTTTTTTTTCAACGTTTATTTATTTTTGGGACAGAGAGAGACAGAGCATGAACGGGCGAGGGGCAGAGAGAGAGGGAGACACAGAATCGGAAACAGGCTCCAGGCTCTGAGCCATCAGCCCAGAGCCCGACGCGGGGCTCGAACTCATGGACCGTGAGATTGTGACCTGGTTGAAGTCGGACGCTTAACCGACTGCGCCACCCAGGCGCCCCATTCAGGGAAAAATCTTTTTATCTGGACCTAACTTGAGCGGATTTGACCCCATAAATAGCTTCCACCTTATAAATACGTATTCAGTAAATAAATAACTTGTCCCTTTATGCAGGGAGAGCTCATGTTTTTAATCAAAATGTACTTTCATGGGTAAAGGGGCTAAGAGAATGGCTCTGTCCTGCTGATATGGCTCAGGGATCAGCAAGCTTTTTCTGGAAAGGACCACATGGTAAATATTTTCAGCTTTGTGGGTCATACAGTCTCTATTGCAGCTACTCAGCTCCGCCGTCGTATCACGAAAGCAGTCTTCGACACTATGTAAGTGAACGGGTGTAGCTGTGTTCCAATAAAACTTTGTTTACAAAAACAGGTGGTGGGCCGGCTTTGTCCCGCGTGGTTTGCCAACCCCGGTATCCACGCGTCTTAGCTTCCAAAGACGTGCTAGCCACCTCCCTGTGTTAGCGCTTAGTTGTGCTCTCAGCCTTCAGTGCTTCCGTGTCATAACACCGCGTGGAATTTGCTGAGAATTTTTTTCTTGGAATAGATTCCCCGGCATTGGGATAACTGTGCCCCAAAGTATGGATATGGGTGAGGCAGTTTTTCACGCATGCTGGAAATAGGCCTGTGGGCTGTGGTTTGCTGCCCACCACCCCCCCCCCCCCCCCCCGGTATGATTTAAGATCACATCTGCAGCATCTGGCTGAATGGTTACTTGGGGTCAATCTTGTCTTCCTCCATCTTAATTGAAGACACATTCTGCTTTGAGGGGAGTGTGTTTCGCCATCTGTTAGATAAACCAAGATAAACCAAGATCTGTACCGGAAGAGAGGATTGACTGTTTCAACAGACTTAAAGGAAGACCCTCCTTGTGGCCACTCTGTGCTGGGCGCAAGGGATAGAGCCAGAGACACTGGATGCATTTCCTTCCTGAAATTCCAAGCCCCTCCCCGGACAGTGTCGTAGCCATCCAAGGGACAGAGCTCCCTACCCACAGGGGAAGAGAAACTGCCACAGCACAGATTGGTCCTGTGGTCCAGAAAAGCCACCAACCAAGTGATAGCTACTCTTTCGCTTTCCTTTTCTATTAAACATTTTTATATCAGGGCACTAGGGTGGCTCAGTCAGTTAAGCATCTGACTCTTGATTCTGGCTCAGGTCGTGATCTCACAGTTCGGGAGATCGAGCCCCGAGTCGGGCTCCGCGCTGACAGTGTAGAGCCTGCTTGGGATTCTCTCTCTCTCTCTGTGTCCCTCCCCTCCGCCATCCCTCAAAATAAATAAATGAACTTAAAAAAAACATTTAAAAATGTATTTTTATCTCATTTTTTTTCACTAAAACATCTATAACATAAAATTTGCCATTTTAACCATTTTTTTAAGAAAGATTTTAATGTTTATTTATTTCAGAGAGAGGGAGAGACAGAGTGTGAGCAGGGATCAGGCAGAAAGAGAGGGAGACACAGAATCTGAAGCAGGCTCCAGGCTCTGAGCAGTCAGCACAGAGCCCGACGTGGGGCTTGAGCTCACGAACTATGAGATCATGACCTGAGCCGAAATCGGACACTTAACCGACTGAGCCACCCAGGTGCCCCGCCATTTTAACCATTTTTAGGAGTAGAGTCAGTGGCCTGAAGAACACTCACACTGTTGTGCAGCTGTCATCATCCATCTCCAGATCTCTTTTCATCTTGTAAAACTGAAACTGTCCCCATAAAACACGAACTTCCTGTTCCCCCAGCCCCTGGTAACCCCCGTTCTACTTTCTGTCTCTGAATCTGGCTGTTCTTGACACTTCGTATGAGGTCGAATCACGGAACATTTGTCCTTTTGTGTCTGGCTTCTTGTACTCAGCATGTGTTTGAGGCTCATTCACGTTGTATCGTGTGTCGGGATTTCCTTTCTTTTTACGACTGGGTAATCTTCCGTCGTGTGGATGGACCATATTCTGTTTATCCATTTGTCTGTTGATGGACATCTGGGTCGCTTCCACGTTTGGCTGTTGTGAATAGTGTGGCTGTGAACATTGGCCTACATGAATCTCCTTGAGTCCATTTTTCAGGTCTTTCTGGGCACATGCCTCAGAGCGGAATTGCTGAGTCACAGGGAATTCTATGTTGAGCTGCGGAAAACTCCTCTTTTCCGTGTGTAAGAGGCATTTTTTTCTGTTCCTTTCTCTTCAGGGACTAATCCGATGATCCCAGTGGAAAACATAGATGGTGTGGTAGAGCATGTTGTGTTGGTCCACCAGTCCGTGGGTGAATTCAGCAAACGATTTCTACAGAAACTGAGGCGTAGCAACTATGTAACTCCCAAAAATTACCTTGATTTTATTAACACGTATTCAAAGTTACTGGACGAGAAAACTCAGTGTAACATAGGTAAGACTTGGGAACGGGGCGGTGAACACGTAAGGATCCAACTGATGACCTTTTCTTTAAGCAGGCGTTTCTTAGCAAGACAGGGAATAATCAGGATCGAGGTGAAGTGTAGCACGCTCCGGATCTTTCATCTCAGAGTGATTCTTCTGGGTGGGCAGGGGGCTGTCACGCTCTTACTTTTACTCATCCGTGTTGGGTCATGCGTTTTGTAGCTCTACATTTTCCCTGCTTAGAGATACGGTCTGATGGCAGCAACGTGCTCTGTTGCGAAGTGCTCTTGAAAATGCTGTGGCTCTAGCTGTTGGCCAGATGAAGCGCTGTTTTCAGAAATACATTTGTTTTGGCCGATGCTGTCTCAGCATGGCAGTGGAGGTGATGTTGGCATCTCCTGGAGATTTTTTTTTTTTTCCCTCGGTTGAGCCCAAGTTGGACGAATCACAGTGAGGCTGCTGGCACGCTTCCCCGGGCGTACTGGCAACGGTGCTCACCTTGGTGATGGGTACGGGTCCTCTCTTTCCTCAGCCCAGTGCAAGCGTCTGGAGGGGGGGCTGGACAAGCTGAAGGAGGCCACCATCCAGCTGGATGAGCTGAACCAGAAGCTGGCCGAGCAGAAGGTCGTACTGGCGGAGAAGTCGGCCGCCTGCGAGGCCCTGTTGGAGGAGATTGCCACCAACACGGCCATAGGTGAGTGTGCGGCCAGCTCTGGGGGCGGGGACCCCCCAGATGGGGCGGGGCTCCACTGGGGGACATTCCTGAGAAGCCACTTGGAAGGCCACTGTTTTTCTCCTGAGCACGGTGCGCATTCCTGCACGTGGACTAAGCAGGCCGCTCCCGCCGGTTGCCCGCCACACCGAGCTTGCCCGCGGTTATTCCAGCCCCTTCCCACGCGGCCCAGCCCCAGTCCCATCTCCCCTGAGACCTTTCCCCTGCCGACCCCTCTTCTTGGCCCCCTGACTGTTGTGATGGTTCCCGCTCTGCTTTTCGGTTCTGACGGTTTCACAGTTGTGACCTTGCTCCCTTCTTCCCACGCACTTGTCTTCCTGCTGCTCCAGCAAGAAACTCTCGGGGCCGGGATCCTTCACAGCATCAGGGCCCATATGCGCTTTGCGCTCTGTAGACGCTTGGCCCACGCTTGCTTCTTGACCGTGAAGACGAATCCCGAGAGAACGCCTCATTGGAAAATATTAGGGCATCCAGCCAACGTTCAGTATGTTTATTGAACACCCACCGTATCGGTTCCCTAGGGCCATCTGGTGAAGCAAAGTCAGCATAAATTTTCGCAGGGCCCCAGGGCACACAGGACTGTGACACACCAAGGTGGTGACGAGCATGGCTGTGATGCTCAGGTCCTTGTGCTCCGGTCCCAGCTGGGTGCTCTCAGACAGGTGACAGTGTATTTGTTTCCTAGAGCTGCCCTAACGAATGGCCACACCTGGGGGGGGGGGGGGGCTTCAAACAACACTTGACTCTCTTACGGTTTTGCAGGCCAGATTTGGAGACCGGCAGGACCAGGCCTCCTTCCTCCTTGCTTCTACCAGCTTCCGGTGGTTTGCTGGCAGTCCTTGGCTTTTAGGTTTATCTCCGTGTCTACCACCACTGGCACATTATCTCCTTCCCTCTGTGTTTCTGAGTCTTCCCGTGGTCTTCTTATAAGGATACAAGCCATTGGATTTGGGGACCACCCTAACCCAGTATGACCTCATGTGAACTAGGATCTACAAAGACCCTCTTTCCCAATAAGGTCACATTCTGAGGTTCTCAGGTGGACGTGGACAGTGGGGAGACACTCTTCAACCCAGCATACCTACTATGAACCAAAGCCTGTTCTAAACATTAGGGTTACAGACCTTGGGGGGATGCTCACATTCTAGTGAGTGGAACCAGACAATCAATGAGCCAATAATTAGATCAACTTCCAGATTTTGATCAATGTCATGAAGCAGTTAAACAGAGAGATGAGGTCTAGGGTGACAGAGGGGGCAGGGCACCTTAGAGGGGTGGTTCTGAGCTGGGCCTGAATAAATATAAGAAAAGGTGACGAAAAAAAAAAAAAAGAAAAGGTGACGAGAAGCAGGGAGATCTCAGTGAGCTGGAAAGAGGGAGGGTGGCCCTAGTGTCCTCGGCTAACACTGGCCACACAGGGTTGGGGGACTGTCCTGTGGGATGGAGTGGTGGGACATGGGTGGGCCAGTCAGAGCAGCTGTCCTGCTGTTGGAGACCCCGTGCCCGGTAAGGTTTCTGTTCTAGCAGGAACACCCGAGGCCGCCATGTTGGACAAAGCTTGTTAGATCCCCTGACAGCCCAGCACCAACCTTGGAGGGCTGCGGGCTGCTTTGTGTCAGTGGTAAATGGTCCCCCACCTCCGTGCCCAGTAGTTTCACTAACCTCCCCTTCCTCCTGTAGCTGAGGAGAAGAAGAAGCTTGCAGAGGAAAAAGCCATGGAGATAGAAGAACAAAACAAGATCATTGCGGTGGAGAAGGCTGAGGCCGAGACAGCCCTCGCCGAGGTCATGCCCGTGCTGGAGGCTGCCAAGCTGGAACTGCAGAAGCTGGACAAATCCGATGTGACTGAGATTAGGTAACTGGTGGCAGTTTCCAAGTGTGCTTGGGCGCCCGTATCAGTCCTGACAACAACTACAATAATCACGGCGGTCAGGCATCTGTGGAGCCCCGTTGCGCGCCGGCCACTGTGCTAAGCACTTTCCGTGGTGGGTACCGTTAGTGCCGTTCTTATCCTCGTTTGCAGAAGAGGAAAGTGGGGCGCAGGACGGTAAGATGGCTCGCCCCGGGTCCCCCAGCCGGGAGGTAGCGGAGCCTGTTGACTTTGGACCCAGGCTGACTCACAGGAGGGGACTGAGTTCCAGAGTGGGGTGTGTGGGAGGAGGTGGGGTTTGTCAGCCGATGCTTTTTTCGGGAAACACGACACGAGCGTCTGTCTGGGGCGCTTGACGCAGGGGGCCGGAGCCCTGCTGAAAATAGCTTGACAAAGATGTGCCACAAGCTGAGAGTCGACTGGGGAGGCTCTGATCCAGCTCTAGCCAAATGGGCTTGTGAGGGGTGGGGAGAGGGGCTCTTTATTGTGGCTCCCGGACCTTTGGCGAGTCAATTTGTAAGATGCCTGTCCCCCCTGCAGCCCCAGGGGACTTCCAGGGAAAGGGGCCTGGTGTGGGGCTGGTGGGTGAGCTTTCTCCCGCGTTGTGTGGGGCTCCTTAGGGCACCGTGAATGGATCTCGCTCATCAACTCGGCACGAGACTGAAGGCAGGAAGGAACACTCCCCCATCTGCCTGCCCCTCTGCTTATGTCGCCTGGCCCCACACACGTCTCCCCCTGGTCCGGGACCCTCAGCTCTCTCCTCTCTCCCCATCACCTCCTTGCTTTCAGAAAGGGTTGGGGTCTTCTGGCCCCACAGTCAGGTCTCCTGTGAGAGACACTCCTGTTTCCAAGCCCGTGGTTGAGTCTCCGTCTTAGGCTCCCGGCAGAACGATGCTTGTTCTCTGTGCTCGTCTCTCTTCCTTCCTTGTCAAAGGCTGGGCCCTTGGCATTTGTTTATTAGTGAGACATGTGGACTTGAAACCGAACGTCCAGCTCATTCCAGGGCAGGGGACTTAAGCAGCTCTCGGGAGGCCACCTGCGGATACTGCTGTTGGCGGAGGTCATTATTTCGGCTTTGCAAAGCGTGGTTGAATGAAGGCGTAAGGATGGACGTTTTAAGATCGCGATCGTACGTGTCAGGAGTTCGGACGGGGGTGCAGAACAAAGCAGAAATGCATACGAAGCTGAGTTGTAGGACAGACCGTCAGCATACACATTTTCAAGGGAAACCGCCAACGTCGGTTATACAAATGTTGGGCACCACTCCCAGGTCAGCGGCACAAAAACACCGTGAGAGCAGAGAGCCGGGAAGGAGTTTTGAAGGGGATTTGTTTGGAGAGAAGGGGCTGTGAGTCCCCGGCTCGACCCAAGGGCGAGGGGGATACGGGGCTCCTACAGGACCAAATGGAGAGCTTGCTATATGTCCCTGGCAGCTGGCGGGGGATGCCCGTATCTCGCCTGAGACAGGTGCGAGATGGTGCTCGAGTCATTTCTGAGAAAGCGCGAGTGGCCTATGACCTGAAGGGACTAGTTTCTGGAAATGTAATTATGGGAGTAGGTAATGTGTTCGTGTATGGCTCTGCCTCTTACGGGGGGGTGTGACCTCAGGTAAGTCACCTAACCTCTCTGTGCTGCAGTGTCCTCATCTGTAAGACGAGGCTGATAATAATTGTCCCCATGGCCTCAGGGCTGTTGTGAACTATTGTATGAAGAGCTCTCTGGACCTCACAGTGGGCGTCAAGTAAGCATCAGCTAGGATGGTCCCAACATCTCAGTGACATCATGTGAAAGCCCCCTCCCGACCGCCCCATCAGCTTAGTCCCCCTCCTTTCCCCCCCACCTGCCCCCCAACACAGCAGGTACCCATTGCCTTTTGGTTCTCACATGTCATCCAGAGGGTTTTTTTATAATGGTCACTGCAAATCAAGGTATAAGTGTTCCTTCTTCAGTTCCTTGACTGTAGATTCTAGCAGGGAAACAAGTGTGGACAATTTGTGTATTTTCTTCCTCTCTTGTGTTTAGAAACCTGTCACATACCCTGTGATGTGCATTTTTCTATGACTATTTTTCCAATCAATAGTGCATTTTTGAGAAAAGCCATGGTCAGTATATGATGAACTTCCCCAATATCTAAAAAGAGTCCATCACATTCCTTTGTATGGTGGCTGTGTTATCATCTATTTAACTGGCCCCAGTTTCCGAATCTTTAGCTTGTTGCCAGCCTTTTTGCTCAAACCGTGATGGTAAAGAATAGCAATCACGACCGCATTGGCGCAGTCAAGGCACGCACGTAGGGATATTTTCTCCAGGCTGAACCGCCGAGTCCAAGGGTGTGTGTTTATGATGTCTAGAGCTGTTTAGTGCTCTCCCTGGGGTGGAACCAATTTACACCTTAATTTGACAGTCCATGGGAGTGCCTGCTTTTCCAGAGCCTCACCAACAGAGAGCACTGGCACTGCTTGGACTCTTTTGCTTGTTATGATGGAAAAAGTTTGTGTAGTTTTTTTTTTTTTTAAGTTTTTTTTCAAACTTATTTATTTTTTTGGGACAGAGACAGAGGCGTGCAGGGAGAGGGGGGCAGGAGAGGAGGGAGACTCAGAATCGGAAGGCTCCAGGCTCTGAGCCATCAGCCCAGAGCCTGATCGCTGGGCCCAAACTCAGACAAGGAGGACGCGGATCTGAAGCTGAAGTCGTGATTTTTAATCAATTTACCAAAAATGTTTCCATGAGTTTGTGTAGTTTTAATGTGCATCCCCCTTATTGTGAGTGGAGGCTACTTGGCAGTGGAAAGATCAAATGTGCTAGGGTTTAAAGTGTATTTCATTTTCTGTGAACTGTTTATACACTTTGCCCACTTATCTGTTGGATTGTTGTTATTGTTACTTTTTTTCTTGTCCGTTTCCAGTGGATTTTTATGTAATAGGGAGGTGAGCTTTTTATCCACGATGTGAGTTGCAGATATCTTCCCCTGTGGTTCATTGGCCATTCGACTTTGCTTGTGAGTTTTGTGTGTGTGTTTGTGTTTGCTGTGCATAAGATTTTTATGTGGCAGATTTTAGCAATGTTTTAGTTTGTGGATCTCGGATATTATGTCATCCTTAAAAGGCCTTAAAAATGAAAGATTGTAAGACAGTCTCCCCATGATTTCTTCCTGTGCATTTACAGTTTAATTCTTTATGGTTCAATAGTTGATCTTTTGGGGATTTTTCCTGGGGTTCAGTGCGAACCCAGTGGATCCAATTTTATTTTTACCCAAATTTATTTTTTCCAGATGACTATAATCTGGCTCTCTTTAGGTCATTTGGATGTCAAGTGTGGTGAGCCAGCACTTACATCTTGACAATTTCATAATCCTTTGATTCTTTAAATAGCACTTTCTTTCTATGAGGCTCAATCCCCTTTGTAGAGATCATCAGATGTTAAGCCAGGAAGATTAGGAGTCATGAAGATTAGAAGTGGACGTTCCTCTGTAGTCTAAAAGGCTCCTTCTGTTACCGGCTTGTGGTTTCACTTTTCTTCGTTCCATTCGTTCGGTAGTCTTTGGGTGCCCACCACCCGCCCACCGACCCTGTGCCGGCACTGGGGCTGAGCAAGGTCTTTACTGCATTCAGCTGACACTCCTGGGGAGGCACGGGTGTTTGTGCAGGAATCCCACGTGGACAGTAAGATCACCCAGGAGAAGGTTAGGACGGGGAGATCTTTGCTGCTACGACCATGGATAACGGGGGAACCTGCCCTAGTCGGGGCGGGGGGTAGTCAGGGAAAGTATTCCCCAGGAAGTGACATACAAACTGAGACGTGGCTAGAGAATATGGATTCACCGGCTGTAGGATAGAGGCTAGAGGCGGCCGTCTCTGAGACTGGAAGGAGCTCGGCCCGAGGGCAAAACAGAGACAGAGTGTCTGAGGTAGAGTGAGGGAAGGTGGGGAGTCGGGTGTGTGAGGATTCTTTCCCTCCGGGGAGCGGGCATATCATCACCATCTTTCTCTCACCTGTTTCTTTTGTGATAGGAGAAAAGAATCAAATGAAACAGGAATGTTTCTATTTCCCAGACTGACCACCTCAGGATCACTAACACCTCAGTTATCCTGTGTTACGACGGCGACGCGTTCTGTGTACACGAGGTTCCCGGGACTCGTTTGTAAGCTGACAGCAGAGGGCTTCGCTTTCATAGACTCACGGGGTTTCCGAGTGGGAAGGTCTGGCTCTGTTTCCCCATTTTGCAGATGGGAAAATTGAGAACCCTGGATAGTTGATAACTTGCCCAAGGTCTCAGGATCCTCCACTGAGGCCGGGGCTCTTCCCGTCTTCTATCTGAAAGCCTCTCGCTGCTTCTGTCCTCTTCTGATTGTTCAAAGATCAGTGGCCTGGGCCTGGCCTTCATCAACCCTGAAGGAAACCTTTCAGAAACAGTTGACAGCGTTGCCTGCTTTCGAAAGACCTAGTGGCGGCCTCATTGAACCTTCCCCTGGTGACTCAGGACCATTACTTTAATCATCTGTCTTTGTGCCGGAGTCATTGCCCTGGCTTGTCCTGACCCCGCGTGGCTCCTTCTCTCTGCCCTCGTCTGCAGGCGAGCGGGTGGGGGTCCTGGGGCTGGGATGGGTGGGGCGTTTGCCCAGTATAGAAAGTCTCCATAGTGCTGTGCTGGCCGCGTTGTTCTCGCTCTCTTGCTCCCTCCCGCCCTCCTTCTCGCCTCTGGGTCACCCTGGCCTCCTGCTGGAACGGCTGGGCTCCTGCCTCACCTCCCCCCAGGCTGCCCTCTGCCCTTCTGGGGCCTCTGTCCTCTCTGCTCTTCTCTCTTTCTTTTCCTTCCCTCCATCACTTTCCTTACGCTTCTGTCTCTCTTCACGGTTTTGGTGTCTGCACAGCTCATCTGGGTCGTAGGTACTTTGCCCAGCAGCAGGCAGCCAAGCAGTCCCCCTGGGTCCAGTGAACGTGCCACCTGTTCCTTCCCAGGTCTTTGTGCTGCTGTGCCGTCCCCTGCTTCTTTGGGTCTCGGTTCCCTGAGGGTTGAGGGCGCTGGACGTCTGAGCGTTGGATCAGCAGAGTGGCGGTCTGGTCTCATCAAAGACCGAGGCAACAGGGGTGACAGAGACCGGAAGGAGCCCGGGATGTGGGGACCCCGGACCCCACGGGCTGTGTGAACATAGGCAGGCTGTGGTGAAACGCTGAGCCCTGTCTCTTCATCTAGTAAATGGATGGCAGTAATGAGAGTGGTTACGCTGTAGAGTCTAAGGAGCCACCCCAGGTGTAATTAGAAGCACAGATTCTCAGGCTCCACCCTGACCTACTGACTCAGATGCTTGGGGTGGCCCGGGTTTGCATTTTAAATGACACCCGCCCCCGTGCTTCTGATGCCGTCAGGTTCCGGGAGCCTGATCTGGCGCCTGATGGAGGAGACCAGTCCCTGACTTGGAGAGGCTCACCCGCGGAGCCCAAGTCGGTGTCGGGATATGGCTTCCTTGGCTTCCACGCAGCGTCACCTCCAAGAGATGACTCTCGGTTGAGCCACGTTTTCTGGAACTCTCATTTAGGCTGGGTCCTGGCCGCATCCTGGGTCTGATTCGCATGTGTCTTTGTTTCCCACCAGGTCCTTTGCTAAGCCCCCCAAACAGGTGCAGACGGTGTGTGAGTGCATCCTCATCATGAAAGGGTATAAGGAGCTCAACTGGAAAACTGCCAAAGGCACGATGTCTGACCCCAATTTCCTGAGGTCTCTGATGGAGATTGATTTCGATTCAATCACCCAGAGCCAAGTTAAAAATATTAGAGGTGAGCGGAGACGAATGTAGGAGTAGCCAGGCCCGATCCCAGTTTGGCATCTCAGTCCTGGGAGCAGGGATGGAGAGCAAGGAGGGAATAGGCCGGGTGACTGTTGCCAGAGGAAGACGGCAGCACTGGGGGTGACATGGGAAGGCCGGGTGCCGGATGGGCGGTGGCAGCCGATGCCTGCTGCACGTTTGACGGCAGTCGCTCTGGCGTTCCCGTCAGGAAACGGCGCCTTCTTACGGAACCCAGCCTGGCCTTGTCTTCCGGCATCTTGTCCACCAGGCATGGTGGTGCAAGAGGCGGTCTGACCTTGATCTCTTCCTTGCGCTTTTTGCCAGTGTACAGTCTCCTGTGGATCCCTGGGAGATGGGCGGGGAGGGACCGGCACCGCCCGCAGCCAGCCTCTCTGTCCTCAGTTACCGAATGCCCACGTTCCCTTTGAGCCTGGCTCCTGAACTGCCTAGATGTTTAGCCAGTGGGAACGAGGCTAGTCTTTGCAAAAGGCCACTCAAGTTCATAGTGCCACTGTTTACCTTCATGGTTTGTTCAGAACGTTATTGTCAAGTGCTTTTTCTCAGCAGCTCAGACACAAAACTAAATGAAACCCGAAGGATAACAACAAGTGCAAAAACCCAAGGACCTCTCTTTACCTGAATATTGGCTTGGGTGGGTTTCCGTTCATGTGAAATTACTCCCGGGGTGAGAGTATAGGTAGAGGGGACGGTGACTCATCATGGCCTACGATTCCCAGCCAGCTGCCTGCTCTGAGCCACTTTGACGCACAGTCGGGGGTCCCCACGGACACCCCGGGTCCTGATGTCACATGGAAGTGCCTGGGTCATAGAATGTCCTGGGTGGCAGTAACATGTGCCCCTCCCTCACACCTTAATCATCCCCTACACAAAACAAATTTATTTCCCATCTTACTTTCCCAAGATGAGTCTTGTCACTCGTCGAAATCATTGCGTCTTTGACCGTTAGGCCTCTTGAAGACTCTCAACACCACAACTGAAGAAATGGAAGCTGTGAGCAAAGCAGGCTTGGGGATGCTGAAGTTTGTGGAAGCTGTAATGGGCTACTGTGACGTTTTCAGAGAAATCAAGCCCAGAAGAGAGAAGGTATTGTCCACACGTAAGACCTAAACATTGCTGCCAAGGGAGCAATCTGGAGTCGCATTTAATATGTCCATAGCTTTGCCGGAAGCATTCTGACAGGGTTCTGATTTTACATCGCATAAACGTTCCCCTGCCCGCCCCCAGCACTACTAAATGATAACCCTGAATTATAGCTCTCATCCAGATGGCGTGAACTGGCAGAACCAAAGTCTGGAAGATTTTCAAATTTTGCGTGAAAAGAGTAGGATAAATGGGTAAAAACTGTCCTCTATGGCTAAAGCAGGATTCTCAGCCTCGGAGCTCTTGACGTTCGGGGCCGGACGGTTCTCCGTGGTGGGGGCCGTCCTGTGCACCGTACGATGTTTAGCAGCATCCCTGACCTCCACCCACTGGGTGCCATTGTCCCTACCCCTAAGTTTTGACAACTAAAAACGTCTCCCGACATTGCCATATGTCCTCTGAGGGGCAAAACCACTGGGTCAGAACGCACAATACAAAGGGAGTTATAAGGTTGATTCGATCATTTTGAGACCTATTTTCTTAAAAATTTTTAAATGTTTATTTTTGGGGGAGAGAGAGAGAGAGAGACCGAGTGCGAGTGGGGGAGGGGCAGAGAGAGAGGGAGACACAGAGTCCGAAGCAGGCTCCAGGCTCTGAGCTGTCAGCACAGAGCCCGACGTGGGGCTTGAACTCACAAACCGTGAGATCATGACCTGAGCCGAAGTTGGATGCTCAACTGACTGAGCCACCGGACACCCAGAGACCTATTTTGACGTTGCTTTATAACTCAGAATTTTATTGCTTAGAAAACTTAGAACTGGGCATAAGATCAGTATTGTTTTCACGCGTTCTTTTGAGTTTTTGACTTAGAACCACAGTGTCATTTTACTGTGATCTCAGTACACTGGGAAATTAAGCCATCTGCTAACTTGGATGAAGACCTGTTTTTCCAATGGTATTAGAGCTTTTGCAGCAAACTGTCGAAGAGGTGACTAAGAAGCCAGGTACCTCAGCAGGACGTATGACGGCCCCAGAGAGTATGAACGGCATTAGAAACGCGGTGTGGACGTAAGCCCAGGGGCGAGACTCCTTCGTCCCTGCCTCACTCCGGTCCCTTTCCCCACCGTTCTGTGAACCGTCTTCCCACAGGTGGCCAGGCTGGAGCGGAACTTTTACCTCACTAAACGTGAACTAGAAAAGATCCAGAATGAGTTGGCAGCGATCCAGAGAGAACTGGAGGCTCTGGGGGCCAAATACGAGGCAGCCATTCTGGAAAAGCAAAAGCTGCAGGAAGAAGCCGAGATCATGGAGAGACGGCTGATCGCTGCTGACAAGCTCATCTCGGGGCTGGGGTCTGAGAACATCAGGTCAGCGGCCGACGCGCTGTGCGCTAAGAGCTCTGAGACTCTGTGGTCCGTGAGCGAACGTCGCCGACGGACCGTCTCGCCATGTAGTCTTCACCCCGCGCTGCGTTTTTATCTGAACACCGCGTGGGAAAGTTCCGATGTTACTGTTACCGTGTTTAGGGTGGCTGATGCCATTTTGCGCATTCTGTGGTTTATTAAATAATTATGAAGGGTTAAGGAGGCAGCGCAGCTGTGGAGACAGGGAGGCACCAGTGGCCTCTGGCAAGGCGCCCTCTGTCCTAGAAACGTTTACTTCTTAGTGACCTTTAACTAAGGCACCTAGTGAGCGCCTCCTGGGTGGGTCTGGACGAGGAGTCCGCCTCTGTTGCCGGACAAATCTCTTCTAAGGGCTCTTGTGTCTGGCTCAGTCCTGAGCTTCAGTTTTAAGCAGGTGGGACTGTTTGATGCCTAGGGGCAAGGCCATGTGGCCAGAGCTGGTCCGCTGGTAGTTTCCATTCCAACACCATAAAAGGGGTATGGAAAACACTAGAAAATACTGTCTGCTTGTAGGAAACAAACCATTTTCAGTATTTCTAAAACCTCGAAGACTTTGGCCATTTACCAGAAGAGGCCAGGTGAAACATCTACTTCCTTTTATCTCGGGTAGAATTTTGTCGCCAAGCAGGACCAGAGCTCATGAGTTCTGCTGGGCGTGTCTGTAAGTTATTGATCAAAGCGTTCGGAAACAACGTGATTACTACTTAATAAATAGCTTGGAGACTAGACGCATCCCGCAAATACTTGTCCAGCCCCCCAATTAGATGCTGGGTTCTGCTGAACCCTGCAATTAAACAAAGTCTTCCAAAACGCTGGGCTCACCAGGGTGGGGTGTGGCAAAATGACCTGGCAGTCTTTGTTTCTAAAAGGAGAGAATATCTCCAACGACGTTTCCTTCTGGCTAGCCCCATTAGCGGCGGCTCAAGGCGGTTCTTCTAGAATGTTCCTTCTGATTGTGCCGGAAGATAACGGCTTACCGCAGCCCCCGTCTCCTGTGCCAGGTGGCTGAATGACCTGGACGAGCTGATGCACCGGCAGGTGAAGCTGCTGGGGGACTGCCTGCTTTGCTCGGCTTTCCTGAGCTACGAGGGCGCGTTCACGTGGGAGTTCCGTGACCAGATGGTCAACCAAGTTTGGCAGAATGACATCCTGGAGCGGGAGATTCCCCTGAGCCAGCCCTTCCGGTTAGAAAACCTGCTCACGGACGATGTTGAGATCAGCAGGTGTGTGTGACCCGGAGCCCGGAGGACGAGGGTGCCTTGGGGTGGGGGTCCACGTGGGTGTCACCCCGGCAGGACACAGCAAGGGGTGCAGCTGACTTGACTGCACAGAAGATCCGGCTTCCTGGACCCTGAGGAGCGTTGAGCAGCCTGTGGGTTGGTAGATTGTCCTGGAAGGCCAGTCCTACCACCGTCAGCACTTGGTTACAACTTGCACAAGAAAAATACATTTCCCTGTCACTGTTCCTTCCAGGTGGGGCTCCCAGGGACTGCCCCCCGATGAGCTCTCGGTTCAGAATGGCATCCTTACCACCCGGGCCAGCCGGTTCCCCCTCTGCATCGACCCCCAGCAGCAGGCCCTCAACTGGATAAAGAGAAAAGAGGAGAAAAATAACCTGCGGGTACGGCCGGCCCCTCCCTGGGTGACCCC